ATTCTTCTGAGCAGCTATATGGAGAAGCAGGTCTGCTGCTCTGATTCGAAAGCCAAGGGCCAGAGTCTTCTTGGATAACTGTGTGGACCTGGAGCTGCTCTGGATGGAGGGCGTCGGAGCCACCAGTAAGGACTGGGACCTGGGCCCAGCAGGCAGTGCCTCAGTGCCAAGGAGCAGGAAGACTCAGAGCTGTCAAGAATATGGTAGTAGCTTTAGTCAGCTTGTTGGTCTGAAAGAAAACCAGTCTTGATCATTTAAAGAATGCTTGGTCCAGCCGGTGTGGTGGCGCACGTCTATAATCCCAGGACTTGGGAGGCTGAGGCAGGAGAATTGTGTGTTCAAGACCACCCTGGGCTACAAAGAGAACTCAAGGCAAGCCCTAACTGCATGGTGAGACCCTGTCTCAAAAAAAAGAATGCTTGGTCCATAGAAACTGTATTCTAAAACAAGCAATGCCTTGTTTCCGATTCAGAAACTGCATCCCCTCCCATCTTGAAACAACAGTAGTGAAGCTGCTGCAGGACATGGACCAGGTCAGGCCTGCGGCTGCCCAGTTCTTCCCAATCTGGAGTATCCTCTGCCTCAAGGGCTAGTTCCCATGCTGCTCCAGGTTTCTTTAATCACAGCACTCACAAGCCTGAAGACTTTGTCAACACTCGGATGCTGAGTGAGAGGATTCTCTTCTCCCCCATGCAGCAGCCTCTCTCTGCAGCTGAGCACACCCAGGACAGCTGCTGCTGCTGCTCCGCTCCTGGCCCTCCAGTCCTGAGCACCAACCCCAAGTGCTCCCCTGCTGTCTGTGTCTGGTCCAGGCCTCGCTGCCCAACTCTTCTGTCCAGAGCTTAAGCCTCGTTCAACCCTGCAGCCTCTGCTGCACTGGGCTTTTCCTTCCTCCCTCCATTCTTCCCAACTAGACTATGACCCACCCCACAAGAGCAACTGTCACTCTGCTTGCAGTCCTGCTACCTGCACGCTTCTCCGAGTGGCGAATGTCAGTCAACTTTGTCTCCCCCCCTGGGGCGGAGTGGAGAGGGGTCCTGCAGTCCTTCCTGTGCCAAGCGCTGTGCGCTCCATGACTGTGAGTCAGGGGCCTGGAGCCAGCTAGCTTCAGCCAGTGCCCCTATCCGCCTGTGGGGAGGCATCCAAGACAGTTCTTAGATAAGAGGGAGGTTGGTTCTGGCTATCAGGCAGCATGGTTTGGGGAGGCTGAGCCAGGCTCCACCCCCACCCTCGCCACACCTGGCCAGTGACTTCCATGCCCTGGAGGGGCTGGCGAGGACCAGAGGATGAGTGCAGGGAATGGTTGGCAACAAAGCAGTGTGGGGGCTGCAGGAGCTGGAGCTCTGGAGGCAAAAAGGCAGGAGACAGAGTCCGCTCCTAGAAACCCCCATGTGTGTCTGTAAGGTGCTGAGCAGGGGTGTGCAGGGAGATGCTGACACAGGTGCCCCGAAAGGGCACTGGCCTGGGCACAGAGACTGGGTGAATCACCTCTCCTTCATAGTGTGCTCCCGCCCTCCCACAGCCTCACAGGATGCTGGGCACAGAGGTGATGACGCTGAGTCTCAGAGGGGACACAGGCTGAATGTGATTCAGTTCTGAACACATCACAGCCCAGACATGGATGTGCGCCCTAGATCTTACAGAAGGCCCGGACAGGTGGTGCTGGCTCTGAGGGCTTAGGATTTGCCTACTTTATTTTCCCTTATTTTTATCTGTGTGTGTGTGGTTTTTTTGTTTCTTGAGAGAGGGTCTCACCATGTAGTTTGGGCTTGACCTTAACTCATTACATAGTCTAGGCTGTTCTTAAACTCATAGCAATCCTCCTGCCTCAGCTTCCTGAATGCTGCAATCACAGGTATGAGCCACCATGCCCACAGAGTTTGCCTACTTTATAGATGAAGTCCCTGCATGAGGAGATGCTCCATGTGGCGGCTATCACACAGCCTGATAGTGGCAGTACCCAACTGGGCTGCCCTGGCTTTGGGCAAGCCCTTGGCACCTCCCCCACACCGTCCTTGCCCTGATTCTTGGGTGCAGATGCCTGTTGTTCCTGCATGAGAAGCGGGGGTCCTGGGATGGGACACCATGGAATACACACTGGGGTGCTTTGTAGCCAACCTCATCTCAGAGCCATCAGCCTGCTCAGCAGAGCAGGCAGAAGCACAGGAGGTTGTGTTGGGGTGCTGGGGCTCCCCAGCCTGCCTGAAATTTCTGTCCCTGCAGTAAGTGTCCAGAGTGGGAGTTGTGGGAGGCTTAGTCCAACTTCAGGGCTCAAACTGTGAGAAAGACTGGGCTGGGCTAGGACTGGGAGCAGCAGGTGCCTGAGCTGGCCCCATTGTGAACGCCAACCCCAGGACCCCTAAGGACCAGATGTGGTGATGACAAGGAATTTGGACCAACCCAGCCTCGAAGAGCATCAGAGGCAGCAGAGACAGAGGTGGCTGGGCATCAGGGGCCTGGCCTAGTTCTCCTGCCTGCCCAGTGGCTTGGCACAGACCGTAGGCAGTCACTTCGCCCCCTCTTTCCATCTGACCCGGTGCACCTCAGGTTCTCATCAGGTTCATACCCTGTGCGTTATTAGAGATCACCCAGTTCAAGGCTGTGTGACAGAAAAGGAAGTGGAGGTCAAGGAAAAAGTGTCTTTCCCAGGGATTTAGCTCAGTGGTGTAAGTGCTTGCCTGGCAAGCGTAAGGTCGTGAGTTTGACTCCTAGTACAAAAAAAATAAAGACAAAAAAAGGGTCTCTCTCAAGGTCACACTGATGGTGGTCAGGCTGGATGACAGTTTCCTGACTCCGGTGATATCTGGTTCTTGAGGACCTCATACCCAGCTAAGTGAACAGACCCTGGCAGCGATCATCCCACCCACAGGAATTTCCTACTATTATTCTCACACAGGAGTTTAAGATGCAGATTTCCTAGAGCGTGTTCTAACTGCAGACAGTGAGCCCAAAAATGTCCACTGGGAGAGGAAAGGTGACAGGAACCCAGATTCAGCCACTGCACCATCGCCCTGCAAATGCTCTTGGCGCAAAAGCAAGAGGCCCATGCCACTGACCCAGTTTGTTAAACACAGATGCTTATGAGTGTTTACCCAAGGGACCTAACAGGTGTCACTGCAGGTGGAGCAGTGGCGTTTTTTCTTAACTTGGCTATAGAACCACCTGTCCTGTACACGATAGGGACATGTTCTGAGAAATGCATCATTGGCCAGTGTCATCTCTGTGGGGGGTCACAGTATCTGTGCACAAACTGAGATGGCTGCAACCACCCCTAGGCAGTTTAATCTCTAGGGACTACTGTCATTTTTGCAATCTGTTGCCCGAAACATCATTACACAGTGCATGAGTGGCAGTGAGGAGAAAACACAAATTCCCGCTCGGCTGTCTGCTGGCCCTGGAAGAGGCCGGTGAGGAGGTGCAGCTCCTGTCTCTGGTCTCTGGAGCCCTGCCCCCCCCCCAGGCAGGTGGCCCTGTTGACACCCTGGTCCTGCTTCTCCGGGTGCACCCTGACACTGGGGTCTCCTCCAGGCTGTAAGCATCATGACCTCGCTCATGAAATATGTCTTCAAGCAGCTGGCAGGGGAAGCTGCCCAGCTGGCTCAATGCTCGGGCCAGACCATGCTATCTGTCCAGGAGGTCCAGATGCCACGTGCCTGCTGCCACCCAGGAAGCTGGCCAAGCTCTCTGTGTCCGAGGGCACAAGGCTATTGCTTAGTACGCCAACTCCAAGTGACCTTCAGCCTGCCAGGAATAAAGAGTGACCTGCACCCACATACTGTGGCAACTTGGAAAGATGTGTGGAGCTGCGGTGTCACCCAGTGTAGAGCCTGCCTGCCTGGCACATGTGAGCCTGTGGGTCCATTCGCAGTACCACAAAAATGAATGAGTGAATGAATGAATGAAAAGGAGGACAGGTGTGAAGCCAGGTATGGGCTGGGGCAAGGGGAACTTTCTGAAGCTATCCCAGTCAGAATCAGAACACATACTTTTTTTTTTTTTAGATCTGTCAGTACAGTGGGAAGAACACATACTTTTAACAACCTTGTTTCCTGGATGCGTTTACTAAGTGACCCATAATAACGCTTTGGAAGCATTTAACCAGTCTGCTTGGTAAGCCACGGAAGCAGGGCTGGGCTGGGGATTTTTCCCTCTCTGGGCCTGACAGCCCAGTCCTCGGAGGGTAACCTGGAGACTGTAAGCTTGTGACTCTGTTTGCCCAGGCTGCACGCTGTCCTGTATGAAAGCACTGCTGGGAGAAGTAAGGTATTTGCATAGCACTGTTCTGGGGGTATTTGGATTTTTGTTGTTGTTGTTATTTTTGTTTGTTGTTTTGTTTTTCAGTATAGGAAACTGACTGCAGGGCATTTGCACTGAGCTACAGAATCTGTCTCAGAAAGGAAAAAAAGAAAAGAAAAAAGAAAAAGGAAGTGAAAGCAAGCCCAGGGTAGAGCTCTGGGGTAGAGCATGTGCTCAGCATATGCAAGGACCTGGTTTCCACCCCGACACCACTCCCCTAAAAAAGAGGGGCAAAGGCAACTGCAGAGGAAGCCGAGGAGCTCCATACAGTGGTGCGTGTCTATATCCCCAGCAGCCGGGGAAGCTGAGGCGGGAGGATCCTTTGACATTAAAGAACAACATGTGTAGCCTATTAAAACTGACTTCAAAAAGAAAAAAAAGGAACCTTTCCTCTGAATGGGAAGTCTCAGAATAACACTTTTAGGACACATTTAGCCACAGCGTCACAGCTTAAGGTGACTATAAGTGTTGACAGCTATTTTATTTTATTCTTAGTCACCACTGTGTCCTGCAGGCTGCCCCACCTTCACCCGTGCCACCCTCCTCGAGCTGCTTTTCGGGAAGCTTCCTAGACAGGTGCCCCGCAGCCTTAGAACCCTGAGTCAGAACCCTAAATCCAGCCTGTTCTGCCCTAGCTCAGGAGAACCTGCCAGGTTCTGTGGGCTCCGGTCAGGTCACAAAGGGTAGTGTGAGGCGTAGGCGCAATGTCGGAGAGGTGAGTGAGGGCTGGGGGCTTCTTGGGGGCCCTGAGACCGAGTTAAACTGTGGAGAATTCAGGAATTCTTGGCAGTCCTCCTGCCTCAGCCTCCTGAGTGCTGGGATTACAGGTGTGTGCCACCATGCCAGGCTCTGGAACTCCAATCCCTCAGGCCACTCCCCAGCCACCACCCAGGGCCATTTCGGTGTCTATCTTGGCCTCTCCCATTCACAGGAGCCCTGGCCACAGGGATGCTATCTGTCCTCCATTCTCCCTGCTCCCCCGCCGGGTGTCCAGCACCCCAGTCTAACCCCTTCTTTCAGCCAGGCTAGTTCCCACAGCCCCCTGGCAGCCCCTCACTTGGAGCTTGTACTTGGCACCTGGGAGGCACCCCTCCTAGGGCACCCCAAAAAGCGCCCCTGTGCTGCCCCCTCCAGAGCTTACCAGAGCCTCTGGGTGGCCTCCCATGGGACGTTGCAAGAGCTGCTGGGCGGAGAGCAGGCCCTACTGGAGGCCGTGCCAGGCCGGGAGCGCCAGGCCTTCCGGTACCGGCTCGCCGTGCTCTACCTGCGCTACCTGGGGCTCCTGCGCCGCTTCGACGCCATCTACGACCAGATGGTGCAGCCGCAGAAGCGCCTGCTCGTGCGGCGCCTGCTGGACAGCGTGGCGGGACGCGTGCTGGAGCTCAAGGACGAGCTGGTGCGCGTGGACCTGTGCGAGACCCACTGCCTGGAACACGTGCTGCAGGACCTCATGCTGACCCCGGTGCGTGGCCAGCACCTGGGCTGTGACAGCGGCAGGGTGACGGGGTCTGGTCTCCGGAGGGGGCTTCAGGCCTCACCAAGTTGGGGAGACGCGAGGGGTGCAGGTCGCAGCTGCTGGGCGCGGGTTAGGAAGGTCCACCCGGGGCTCCTCCACTCCAGTGGGGTCCCTGGGCAGCAGCTTGGCCTGGTCCACTATCTGCTGGTCGCTGGAATCTGCGGCTGCACACGAGCCTGCCATCCCTGCCCCCCCACCTTGCGGCAGTTCCCCAGTGATCTGTGGCAAAGGCCCAACTCTAGACCAGCCAGTCCTGCTCCAAGGCTAGGGTTCTGGCCTGAGCTCTGCCCAGCCAGCCTCAGCGGTTCCCTGACCTGGCTTGGGAAAGGGGCAGATTTCTCAGGCCCTGGGGGTGTCTGGGGGAGGACCCAAGAATCTGCAGAGTCAAAGCACCCCAGTGAAGCCCAGCTGGATTTGAGCACGGACTTTCTCAGGATCCTCCAGAGCCCAACTGAGAGGGGAACAAAGAAAAGTTGGTGTGGTGGTACCGCCCTCTGACTCCAGTACAGGGAAGGCTGAGGCAGGAGAATCACTCCAAATTTGAGGCCAGCTTGAACTACATAGAGAGGTCAAGCCTAGCCTGAAATTATGTGCAAGATCCTGTCTCAAAAAATAAAAATTCAACTTGGGCCAGAAAGGGGGCAGGGGAAGGAAGGGATGACCTTTGGGGGACTCTACCCAGTGACCCAAAACGTGGGGCCTGGAGGACAGGAGACAGCTCAGTTGGCAATGGATGGCTGCACAACCAGAGTTCTGTACCTGACCCTCCTCCCTCCCTACGTCTCAAAGGCCGACCTCGAGGTCCCAATCCCCAAATACTTCCAGTTGGAGCAGTCCAGCGTGGTGAAGGAGCGGCAGCAGAAGCTGGCTGAGATCCTGTCCAGGATGGAGGTGACCCAGGAGGTAAAGGGGCACTGCCAGGCACAGAGGCTCTGTCCCGAGGACCCCTACTGGCCCAGGAGGACCACATCCCCATGTGTCCTGTGGTGTCTGCCCAACCTGGATGCAAGTCCCTCACGTCACCTGCTCTGTTCCCTGCTCTACCCAGAGTCCTCCAGGAATGCCCAGGACGCAGGCCGTAATCTTGGTGCAAACCATGGAGCGTGCACGGCAGGGCCGGCTCCGAGCTGCCTTCATGCGAGAGATTCGGAGAGAGGAGGACCGGGATCGGAAGGTCTGGGAGGACACAGGGCCTAAGTTCAGTCAGGACGAGGCAGCTGTGGTCATACAGAAGGTAACAGCAGTACCTAGAAGGCTGGCCAGGTGAGGCCACCTCCTCCAAGAAGCCTTCTAAGCTTTGCAGGTGCCTGGATTCTGCTGTCCCCTGGCTAGGGCGCACTGGGGCTTTTGTCTACATCTGTCTTCCTTGCTTAATATTCTTCAGTCTGTATCTCTGTCCTCAAATGGATTTGACGTAGGGTACCGTCAAAGCCCCAGCAACATAATTAGTGTTAAAACGAAGATTAATAGAGTTAGACGTGCTGGTGCACACCTGTAATCCTAGCACTCAGGAGGCTGAGGCAGGAAGATTATCATGAATTTAAGGCCAGTCTGGGATCCACAGTGAGTTCAAAGCTGGTATGGACTACATAGTGAGACCCTGTCTCAAAAAAACAAAAAAATCTAAGAAAGAATCCCAAACAACAAACGATCATTCCAAAAATTATGACTATAAAACAAAACCAAAAAAAAAAAAAAAAAAAGAAAAGAAAGCTACTAAAACATAACGCTGTGCATCGGGCTGAACTGGAGTCTGAGGATGACTGGGAGCTAAGTAACCTGAAGCTCTGTCTTCCTTGGGTTCCCTTTTCTTCAGCATCGAAATAGCACCAGCCACCCACCCTGCTCCTGTACGCCCTGGGCTCTAGACCAGCCAACCACCTGACAGCTCGATGGACAGCCGTGCAGTCCGGCTTCTCTACTTCCAGAAATGCTGCAGCCGTGGCTGCCAGCGCCAGAGAGGCCCGACGAAGCTGTGGGTGCAGGGGAGGCTGTTTTGTGCTCTGGAGGCCACTGTTGTGCTACATCCCCTAGTTGCTTGCCGCTGCTTCCTTCCAGAACCCCACGCAGATGTGAGGCTGGGCCTTGTTTCTGTCTCAAGTCAACCTCCTGTCCTGCTTTCTGTCTTTCAAGTCCCACCGCCTTAATGATTTCTGTTTCCCAGTCTGCTAGAGAAAGGCTGCATCCCTTTCCCCAAAACCTCAAGACCAAACCATCAAACAGACACCATCCTGTGAAGGTACAGGGGAAATCACAATAGAGGCTGTTTTTAAAATTCTGTTTCAGTAAAAGACACACTGCCATTAATCCCCTCACAGTCTTCTCCCAGCTCCGGACACATCCCATCACCCTGCTCCTTTCTGCACAGCTCCGGAAGTCCTCTTCCACATCTTTATGAGGTGGTCACAGAGGTGGTCACAGAGGTGGTGACTGCTGCTGCCCGGGGCCACCCTATGAAAAGGCAGCTTGTAAAAACACGTTGCTGCTTCCTCATGCGTCTCAGTCACCGGCTCCAGCCCCGTGTGATTCTGACTCTTCCAAACTCAGAATGCCACAAAAAGTCAGCATGTGAGATCCAGACAGGACACTGCGGCAGCCTGAGGGCCAACTAAAGACACGAGTGACTTCCAGAGCGACTGCCCAAAGTTGCAAGAATGCTGGGATTGGTGTCGTTGAAGCAAGGGAAGGGTTTTGAGGGAGATTCATGATGAAGTATCATTTTTAAAAAGCTAAACCCTCACTATACTTTGTGATCATACCTTGTACGTCCTTCCCAAAGGGGACAAGGTTTACTTTACTACTCAGGACACTGAGTATCCTACCTGCACTTGAATGTGGACAACACACCAGTGTCCAGCCAAGTGGAGGATTCCATGTCACAGGGCTCACCTGTGTCCATCATGTGTGGCATGCTGGCCTTGACATGAAAACTATGGAAATACACATTCTAGCCTTAGAGTTCTCTGTCCAGCACACATATAAAAGGCAAGGACACATAATCTGCCCAAGTACTGTGAGCCATCCTGTGCTGGCTACAGGAGCTGAAGGACCCAAGCTGGAGAGTACCAGAGGCTCACCCTGCTTGTGGGGGTACTAGCACAGAAACAGGGAGCTCAGGTTGGATGCTGGCCCTGCCACTCTGCTGTCTGCCTACCTCGCACCCACTGTCCCCAGGACGAGTGTGATTGGGGGAAAGTCATGGGCCCAGTTCCCTGGGCATGGTGTGCTGGCCTGTCATCCCAGCACTGTGGTAGGCTAAGGCAGGAAGATAGCAAATTCCAGCCCAGCCTGGGTTATTTATTTAGCCACTTGACAAGATCCTGTCTCAAAATAAAATACCAGAAAAGGAATGGAGATGTAGTTTAGTGCAAAGGCCCTGGGTTCCATTCTCAGGACCAAGAAAAAACAAAACCAAAACAAAGTGCCTGTAGTGGTAACTAGGTGAGCTCCTGCCATGGAGTTGCTGCTCCTGCCCAGCCTGGACCCTCTCTGCCTCAGTCCTGGAGGCTGCCAGGCTGAGCCCCACCCTACTGCATCTGAGCACCGTGTGTCCTTGTCCCAGGTATGGAAAGGTCATGTGCAGAGGAGGCGCACCCAGCAGGACCGGCGAGCAGAGATGGAGTTCATCGGCATGGTGAGCCCCCGGCCACAGGGGGACACACAGCCCCACAGTGCCCTCAGTCTCCACTCCCACTGGCCCCAGATCCTGGGAGAGAGAAAAGCAGAGGAAAGGAAAGCCGCTGAGGCATGTCACTCACACCCCTCCTTCTAGAGCCCCCGCAAGAGCTCAGATATGGGGGTTCAGTATCGTGGAGCATCCCAGCCCTGCACCCCTGCCCAGCTGGATGGAGAGGCTTGGGTGGCAGTGAAAGGAGGAGGAGCACAGTCCTGGGCCCCCCAAGGACATATGCGTTGGGCCAGGCTGCATTCCAAGCCAGGGCTCTGTGGGCCACAAGCTTCCCCACTCACTCTGGGGCCCAGACTCACCATTCCTCAGCTGTGCAGGGAGGATGGCTGAGTGTGGACTGCTTGGTGCGTGTGTGTGTGTGTGCGTGCATGTGTGTGTGTGTGTACAGGCAGAGCTGCCCGATACCTGAATCTGCTCTCTGACTGTGTCCTGGTACAGGTAGTTTCTGGGACAGACAGGCAGTGGCAGGGATGAGGCAGAGGGGCCTGGTTGACACAGGAGGGCGTGGGGGCGAGGCAGGGGGGCGGATCTTGAGATGGGAGGGAAGGGCTTTTCCCTGGGGAGGCACCAAATTTCAGCAGGTGGGGCCGCTGGGTGGGAGCAGAGGTCAGAGACTTGTTGGGGGGCAGGAGAGCTGGACCCCCAGGAGGGAGAGCAGGCAGAGGGATGTGGCTGGGTCTGAGGGAAGAAGTTGGGGGGGCATGGCACGGTGGTAGGTGAGGAATGAGCTCGGCCGCCCGGGCCCATCAGCAGTGTGGGCTCAGCGTTTTCAGTAATTGTCTCTGCGCAGAGTGATATTTAAAATACATTTGGGAGCCAATGAGGCGGGAAAGTGGCTTCAAGAGTGGCTGCCAACTCGGCCGCGGGTGGGGCATTGGGGGCTGGGGCCAGAGGCTTCAGGGAGGGTGGGCAGGGGCCCCCCCAGCCTGGATGTTTTCAACAAACTCATTATTGGAGTAATTTACACAGATGAGCTTCAGCAAGGAGCACAATTTCTCCTGATGCAGGCAAGCCTGCGGTTCCAGCCCGCTGTGCTGGTGGGGAGTGGGGGCAGGTGCGCCCCACCGCTCACGCCCTTAGCCCCAGCCTCTGTCCCCATGTCCCCCAGCTCCCTGCGTCCAGCCAGGCAGAGCACTTGGGCATCCTGCAGAAGGCCACCCTCTGGGAGGAGAACCGGCGAGCCCTCCAGAAGGAGATGGAGGAGGAGTTCCAAGCGGCCAAGGTGAAAGCTAGGGAAACTGTGGCTGAGACCGAGGGACCCATCATGAAGGAGGCAATGAGGGAGCAAATCCGACAGTGGTTTATTGAGTGCCGGTCAGTGTCCAGAGCCTCAGGGTCCCCCTTCATTCCCTCCTCTCCCCAGCACCCCCTGAGCTGCTCCTGCCCCTTTCTCCAGCCCTTTCTTTCTAGTCCAGATTGGCCTTTTGCTCCTCCTCCTCCGCCCCAACTCCCCCCAACTCTGCTGGCACTCTTGGTTTAAACCATGAACCTCCAGTGTACAGACCAGCTCCACACTCCTTCCCTTTTAGAGAAGAGAAAACACCAGATGAGATGCGGAAGGAGCACAAATGGCCCCAGAGAAGTCTCTCCTGTGCACTCCATAACTGCCTATTCCTTTCCTCTTTCCTCTCTCTGTTCTCCTCCTCCATCTCTCTATCCATCCATACATTGTCTTCCCTTCTATCCATCCATCCATCCATCCATCCATCCATCCATCCATCCATCCAACCATCTATCCATCTATCCATCCATCTAACCTTCCACCCAACCATGTATTCATCCATCATCCTAGTACCATCCGTCCACACATCCTTACATCTTTCTATCTTTCCACCCATCCTTACATCTGTCTGTCCACCCATTCATCTATCTGTCCGCTTACTCAATCACCTGTCCATCTATCTGCCTACCCTCCCACCCATCCGTCTCCAACTATCTTATGTCCACACAGCGCGGTCACTGGCCGGTTCCCTGATTATCCAGATGAGTCATTAGGTGGTTCCTGTGTGATCTTTGCTGACAAGACTCCAGAGCAGGTACCCTAGAAGGGGGACAGGAGTTCACAGAGAATAGTGAGTATAAGATGCGAGTGGTGGTAGGATGGGGAGGGTCAGCTTCAGTGGGCACAGATGTGACCATGATCAGAGGGCTAGAAAGATGGTATGGGCCTGGAGAAACTAGCCCTGGCCCCTGAGAGGAAATGGTCTGGGGCCACTGTGGCTTCAGGTGTCCAGAACACAGGACTGAGTGGCCACCTTGGTCAGAACAGCCCTTTCTCAGGGAGCCCAGTGCAGTCTGCACGCTCAGCCATCTGGACCCTGGCAACATCCTCGGTCCCTGCTGGCCCAGGCCATGAGTTCTCTCAGTCCTGTGAGATCTCCCGGTCCACAGACATTTGTCATTGGCTGCAGGTGAAAATGGAACTGGAGATGCCCCAGGAGAGCAAAATGAAGGCGAAAGAGACAAGTAAGGAGAAAGACCAGGAGAGGAAAAAAAGGAAGGAAAATAAGGTCAAGAAAAGGGTAAGATGGTCCCTGGCACAGGCGGGCAAGGAAGAATCAGGCTGCAGGGTACAGGGCAATCAGAGATGGCAGCTAGTGGAGGTGGAGTGGTCAGGGCACTGGCGTCTCTGTTCTAGGAAGTGGACACGGAGCTGAAAGTGCTGCCCTCCAAATTTATTCCTGGGATCACCGCGGGACACCAGGAATACACAAGTAAGATGTGGGGGCTGGGACGGGTCAGTGTTAGGGCCTTGGTGGTGGGGAAGTGGGCACCTGCTGGGTAGGTGTAAGGCAGCTGCTGTGTCTGTGGAAGGGGTGGCGGAGAGTCCCTGGGTCAGGGTGTCATGGGCTTGGTTCTGAATCCTGTGGCTGCAGGCCTTGGGGTGAAGCCCTGGATAGAATCAATGCCAAGTGGGAATGGGTGGACCCCTTAGCCCCATGTGTACCTGTGTGTGTACACGCGTGTGTGCAAGCATGTGTGAGACTCTGGCTTCATGGCTTCACGTACCCTTCATTTTGTGAGACCAGATATGTGGGAGAACAGAAATGAGAGCAAACACCCCAGCCAGAGCTTTGACCCTGAGATCCTCCGGAAGGAGAAGCAGAAGGAACTGGAAGTGGAAATCCGTGTGCAGGTGAGAGGCTGTGCTGGGGACCCTCGGACAGCCCTGCATGGCCTCCCCGCTGCGGGCCCCAGCAGCACTGCCACCCCTCCTCCCCTCCTGCTGCTTTCTCTGGCCTTCAGCCCCCAGCTCAGTGCTCTGTTCCTCTTCTGCAGGCCTCACTGCCCCATGCACAGTTCTTGCTCCATCTGTGGCCCTGGCACCCCATCTTCCTAGGGCCCCCATGTACAGACAGGAGAGGAGGGGAAGGGAAACATGCTGGGTCCCTGCCACCTCCTCCCTTCTCACTGGCTCTTCCATGAGGCTCCGCCTTCTCTCTGACCACCTGCCACGCTGCAGCCCCTTGCCTTCCTCCACAGTCTCTGCTGTGTCCCCACCATGTCCCCAGGTGGATGAGCTCATGCGGCAGGAGCTGAAAAACCTGCGTCTGGCAGTGGACAGGGAGGATGAGAGGCCCTTGAAGACTCCAAAGGTAGAGAAGAGGCTGTGGCCGGCAGGGGAGGGCACCCTAGGGTGGGGAGGTGGAGGCCGAGGACAGTGACCCACAAGCCCATCACCAACCAGAAGAAACCCGCCAAGAAAACTGGGAAGAAGAAGAAGAAGGAAAAAGACCTGACCTCAGACAGGTAGCCCCGTTCCCACTGTCCCATGAGTGGTGCCCATGCCCGTGCTAGGGTGGGGGGCCTGACTGTAGGTCCTAGTTCTGCAGCTGGATGGACTTGGGAAGTTGTGTCACCTCTCTGAATGCTTGGCCCTGGTCACCGACTTCCTGCCTTCGGAAATGAGGGCACAGACTAATATCTAAATGGGGCTCGAGATACCATCGTCCTCTCCGGTCCTCCAGCCTCTGCCTGCATTAGCTCTGTCCCCCTGGCTGTCCCCCCTGTGCTTCTCTCACCCGGCACTGAGGGACGGACCCATCTATGCCCCTTTCTACCTGCTCCTCTCATGTCACCAGTCCACTGGGATCAGGGCCTTGCCTGCCACCTCTTCCGGGAACTCATATCCTAAACTGGCTTCAGGAAGAGGGCCAGAGTCCACCACTCATGGTGTTCGGGCAGGAGAGGCTGACAGGGAGTGTCCTGGAGGCTGCTGGTCCTGCTCACATCCCCGTCATTCCCTGGGGTGCCCACTGTGGGCAGCCTGCAGCTTCTGGTTCTGTTGTCTGCTGTGTGTGTCTCTGACCGCGGAGACTGGGGGACCTACTACTTGCCTGAAAGAGTTGAAGGCATCCTACAACGGTGACCCCAGCATACCCCACTTGCAGCAGCACAGCTCACCATTGCTGACTCCAGGAAGGGACCTCTCTGTCCATCAGCAGATGAGTGGGTAAAGAAAACGTGGTACCTGCACACAGGGCGGCACTACTGTGCCACAAAGCGGGGTTCACTTGAGGAAACGGAAGCGCCTTGTAGCCACAACATTAGGTGGAATAAATCAGATACACATGAGCTTAAATAGCGCATGGTTTCTCTCATAGGAGAAACCCAAATTATAAATAAAGAGCAAATTAGATCTTTTGCAGCTGGGAAGGGGGCTGAGAGATGGAGGGAGAGAGGAGCGAAGGTGGCCGTTATGTGCAGACGCATTCCAATAAATCATTAAGGGCAGGGGATGTAGCTCTGTGGCTCCATCGCTTGCATGAGGTCATGAGTTCAATCCTCCATACCAAAAAAAAGAAAGAAAAGAGCTCAGTGGCACAAGAGCCTGCCTGGTAAGTGTGAGGTGATGAGTTGGATCCCCAGTACCAGAACGAACAAACGAAAGAAAAAGAAAGAAAGAGAAAAGAAAGAACAGAAAGAAAAAAATTATTAAAAACCCAAGGAGATTATTCTTTAAAAAAAGGCTTGTGGGCAGGAACCACTGACCCCTCTCCTCTGCTGACAGCCCCAGCTCTCTCCCTGTCCCTCTCTTGCTAATGTCTTTGGGGTCTCCGTTGTCCTGCCAGGTCCCTGGACTCACTGTACGAAGAGCTGGTGGTTTCTGGCCTTCTAAAGAAGAGTGACAGGGTGGCCTTGAAAGACTATGTAGGTGAGCCCCGCCCCACACCTGCCTCAGGCCAGACCTCTGAGGAAGCCAGCTGGGCTTCCGGCCTCTCCTCCAGCGTGGTCTGTTGTAGTCAAGGGTTGGGAGGAGAACAATTAGAATCAGGACATGGAGTTTATAATATTGTCTTATGATGGTCACCCAGAGTTAACACAAGAAACTGCAGGAAATCTGTCCACAACACCAAAAACATAGAATATTTAGTCAAGGGCATAAATCCCACAGCAATGTCCCAGATGAAAACTCAGAGCTCATGACAATGCCTCCCAAGAGTCCAACTGGAGGTCCAGAGCCCACAAGAAGGACTCAACCAGTCTCTTTTACGGATTCACACTGGGAAGGCCCAAAGATCAGTGGAAGCCAGAAAGTCTATGCCAGCAAGATGAAGGAGCTGTGCTGGTGGGATGAGGGTTCTACGCTGGAGCCAAGAAGTCACACTCACAACAAAGACTAGGGCTGTCCTGAAAGGCACCACAGCCATCCTGAGCAACATGGAGGCCCTGAGCTCCTCCCACGACAAGCACAGTTGGGTACATGCCAAGAAGCCAGCGTGATGAGTTCATCCTGGAGACGAAGCAGCACACATCTTCCCATCCAGAGCCAGAAAGCAAAGCTCTATGTGAGGACAGAGCTTCTCCAGGAGAACCAACGGCTCAAACAGCAACTCCTAGGAAAACCCACAATGCCTCAACACATAGCTTCTCCTTCTCCACGTCTCTATTTATGCTGGCAACTTTCCTCAGGTGGAGCATCTACACTCAGCACCATGCTGATGTAACCCAGCTGACATTAAGTTCTTGATCCATAACATCATCCCACAGGCCCAGTGCTAGTCACCAGGCCACCTTCCCTGTTCCTTCAGGAGACTGCCTGTATCTGGGGTCTACGCTGATGTTGGCCAACAAGCTGCCCATGCCCTCCCTGTTTGATGTGCGACAGAACATGGCCTTGTATGGAGTCCTGCGGTTGGGTGAGGCCTGGGGAAAAGGGGCCATGCTGGAGGGGGCTGGGGCTCAGGCAACGATGACCAAGGTGGGCTTCCTCAGCCAAGCTGGGCTTCCTCTCCCCAGGAGCCATAAGTCCCTGCTGGACTCCTGCCTTTCTCAGGGGCTGCTGGGCATCACCCTAAAAATTGAGTCATGTGTGGTGGTACACACCTGCAATCCCAGTCCTTAGGAGGCAGAGACAGAAAGATTTCCACAAATTAGAGGCCAACCTGGGCTACACAGTGGGACTCTTATCTACCTCCTTGGGCTGTCACCTTCCTCCAGGCTCTGCAGACATTCACTCCCTGGCTCCCCTCATCCGATCTATCCTCCTGGTGGGTCCCTCTGGCACGGGGAAGAAGATGCTGGTCCATGCAGTATGCACAGAAACTGGAGCCAACCTGTTCGACTTGTCACCTGGAAACCTGAAGAACAAATACCTTGGCAAGAGTGCAGCACAGATGATGATGCACATGGTCTTCAAGGTCTGCAGCCCCCGGCTTCCTGTTTTGGGTCTAGGCTGTCACAGTAGGCTGGGCTTTATGCTCTGGGGTCACCTCTCTGACTGTGGGGTGGGGTTTCAGGTCTCCCTTCCAAGCCCTGCTGGGAGGTTGGGTCCTCCTGAAGCCCCCATGCTGGGGAAGGTAGGAGGCAGGGTGGTTTCTTTCCACAGTAAGATCAGGAATAACTGGGCTTGGTGACACATGTGTAATCCCAGCACTTAGGAGGCTGAGGCAGGAGGATCCCCACATGTTCATAGCCAGTTCTGGCTACATAGTGAGTTCAAAGCCAGCCTGAATTACAAAGTGAGATCGCATCTCAAAACAAAAACAAAATGAAGATGAGGTGTAATGTGCTCCCCTTACCCCCATGGAGGACAGGGACTTTGGTTTACATTGTGCACCATGGAAGTGTGCAGAGGGCTGGAAGGATGAGGGGAGCACAGCTGGGCCCTTGAGGTCAACCCAAATCCTGGGTCTGAGGGAACACGGCCCTTGCTCAGAGGCATCTTCCATCTGATTGCTGCCCTGGTCTGTCCAGGTGGCCCGGCTGCTCCAGCCTTCTGTGATCTGGATTGGAGACGCTGAGAAAACTTTCTACCGGAAGATCCCCAAAGAAGAGAGTCGGGTGAGGAGCAGAGGCGGGCAGAACCCGGGCAGAGGGACAGGGCGAAGGCCTTTGATGAGTGCCCTCTGCCTCTGGAAGCCTCATCAGCTGCCCAGGGTTGCCATGGGGCTGGGCATGGGCCTGGTCGCCATATCCCAACCCTAAGTGACTCCCTTCCCGGGAAGATGGACCCAAAGCGCATCAAGAAGGACCTGGGCAAAGCCATGAGGCTGCTGGGTCCCGGGGACCGCGTGATGCTCATAGGAACCACGGGGCGGCCACAGCTGGCAGAGATGAGGGGCTTGTGCCAGCTGTACCAGCGCATCCTCTTCGTGCCCCGGCCTGACTACAACTCCCGCTATGGTGAGAGTGGGGGCTGGGCTAGTGGAGGACCCCTGCGCCCCACTTCCATCGCTGCCCCTGCTGCCTGGGAACAGGCCAGGGCGCTTGGCCCTGGGGAGAGGAGCTGCTCCGTCCCCCCAGGCCAGGCTGGCCTGCGTCCCCAACCCTCACTCCAGTACCTCCACTGCCTACAGTGCTCTGGAGGCATCTGATAGAGGCCCGGACACAGGTGACCCCAAGCCTGGACCTCAGCGCCCTGGCCAGGGTGTCTGATGGTTACACGGCCGGTTACATCCGCAAAGCCACCCAGGTGGTGCTGACCGACCGGAGGCTCCTGCTGTTGCCCCGGTGGCCTTTGGGTGCCTCCGAGTTCCTGGGGCAGCTGGCAAAGCTGGACCCAGTGTACTATGAAGAGGAGGAAACCTTGAAGGTGAGGTCACTGGGCTCGGGGACCCAAAAAGAGGCCTTGGGGGGAAGGGTGCATGGACGGCTGACACTGTGTTCTGGAGTTGTTTTGTTTCACTTGGTTTTGGCTCTTTTCTTCTTTTTATCTTTCTTTCTTTCTTTCTTTTTTGAGACAGGGTTTTACTCTGCAGTTCAGGCTGGACTTGAACTCACAATGACCCTCCTGCCTCAACTTCTCGATTGCACCACCACACCCAGCTTTCTTTTGTTCTTGAGACAGGGTCTTGCTATGTAGTTCAAGCTGACCTGTACTCACTATGTAGCCCAGGCTGGTCTTGAACTCACAGCAGTCTTCCTGCCTCAGCCTCCTGAGTACTGGCGTGCAACTGTACATCCAGCTGGGCTAGAGTATTTGCTGTGGAGCAAGGCAAAGCCCCAGCTGGGACAGGACCCCCAGACTCCCAGGACAGAAGGACACAGGATCAATAAAGAGAGGAGAGTGAGGCAGGAAAGACCTAGGCTCGGCCTGTTGGACTCACTCTGTCCTCCTGCCCATTCAGGACTGGTACTTCAAGACCCCACTGGCCAAGAAGAACATGAAAGTTAGCAAGGAGCAGCTGCAGGCTGAAGAGGCCAAACTAGCCAAGGAGAAGAAAAAGAAATGAAAGCTGGGCCTGATGGTACCTGGGTCAGGCAGCAACGATGGACAGGCCTGGAGCCTAACAGATAGGCAGAAGCATAAAGGCCAGGGTGGCGGGGACACCGTGTCTCAGCCATCCATCTGTTCCTGCGCCATGCCACCCTCTCTCTGCCCTGCCCTGCCCTGCCCACCTCCACCTCCCTCTGCCCTCAGCCCACATCCTGCCTTCGGGCCATTGCCCGATCCTTGTCACCATCCTGTGCCAACCTCCAGCTCCCTTGCACCTTGAAGTGCTTGAAGGAGAAAAGATAGCAAGGAAGGAAGGAGGGAAGGAGGGAGGGAGAAAAGAGGAGGTGGGGAGAAGGAAGGAATGCAGTGAGGAAAGAGAAAAGCCAGCTGTTCCTTCTTTTCACCCTGCTGCCATGGGCTCCCTAGGTGACCTGGGCCTTGGTTTCCACACTTTGAAAGTTTGGGAGAGGTTGCTCCAGCTGCTCTCTGATTTCCCTTCTGGCTCAGAGTTCCACTGGTCTAGAAGACAAGTTTGTGGAGTCAGGGAGGGAGGGAGGTGCTTGGGTGGCCGTGGGGCACAGAGGGCCCTTGGGCCAGGCCAGCGTATGGGTGGAACCTATGCCCCCTTGTGCCTGTCACCACCTCCTTCCCCCAGAGACCTTCGTGCCACCCCATCTGCTCTGCACCCTGTGTCCCACCACCAGCAGGACACAGCTCCTGCTTGGGGCATAGGGGTGTCTGGGGGTCCCCTTTGCTGGGGACAGAGTGGCTCAGAGGACAGAGTGGACAGAGGATAGGCTGGGCCAGGGAACTCTGGGGAGCCCCATTGCTCTCTGGGAAGAGTTGAATAGGTGGGAACCTGGCAAACAGCTTCCTTCTCTGGGCTGTCTTCCCGTTCTGCTCCTCCCAGCTGGGTTCTGGGGCAGGGCCAGCAGGGGCTATTTATGGGACTGTTTATAATGGGCTTGCGTGTGCTGTCGTGCACCTTCCACGCTGGCCCTGCCTGGCCAGGGCCCAGCACCCTGCCCAGTCCACCCCCAGAGTCTCCCAGAGTCCTACTGCTCAGGCTTCCTCACCCAGAATCAGCTATGCCCAGGGAACAGGGCTCCCCACCCCTCGAGGGACACCATCTGGGGCGCCCCTCAGCCCCTTCTTGCCTGGCCCGGGGGACCCCATCTTGGCCGTCACCATTGCCGTGCCAGGACATGGCCCTGCAGAATGCGCTCTACACTGGAGACCTGGCGAGGCTGCAGGACCTCTTCCCCCCGCACAGCACGGCCGACCTGCTGCTGGAGAGCCGGGCTGCAGAGCCTCGCTGGAGCAGCCACCAGAGGGGTGAGGGGCTGCCTGCTGGTGGGGACACGCGACCAGGGCTGGGCTGACCACTGTGGGTGCCGAACCCCAAGGCTCCGGGAAGAGGCAAAGCCCCTGGCTGCTGCTCCCCACCACAAAAACCTTGGCTCAGAAAAGAAGTCATGTGGAGCCCAGAATAGCTCCTGCCGGACCTCGTGGCCAGGCCAGGTTCCAGCTGGGGGCGCAGTGGCCCGGCCTCCATCTCTCCGAGTTTCCCTCCTCTTGCCTTTTCTGCCTGCAGCTTCAGCTTCTCCTCCTCCTGTTTCTTGCCTTTCCCCGCATGCTCATGAGCTGGTCCCTGGAACAATGCCGGGGGCAGGGACAGCCTGGGGATGACAGACACACCCTCTGTGCCAGGCTGGTGGTAAGGCCCAGCAGAGGCTCTGAGGAGTCCCCAGAGTCTGGCCTAGGACCCATCATCACCCGCACGGCCTCAGGACCTGCCCTCGCCTTCTGGCAGGCGGTGCTGGAGGGGGACGTGGGCTCCGTCTCCCGCATCCTCTCTGACTCCAGTACTGGCCTGGCTCCTGATTCCGTCTATGACACCAGCGACCCAGAGCGATGGAGGGATTTCCGCTACAACATCCGTGCTCTGAGTACGGGCTGAGGTCCTGGGGTCTGTGCGGGGACGGGGGGCGCTACTGGCCGAGCTCTGGCTCCCTCCGCTGGTGCCACTCCTAGGATCTGAGGCCTGTGTTCTTCTGTTTGTTAGGACTCTGGTCCCTGACATACCAAGAGGAGCTAACTACGCCCCTGCACGTGGCGGCCAGCCGTGGCCACACGGAGATCCTGCGGCTGCTGCTGCGGCGACGGGCTCGACCAGACAGCGCCCCCGGGGGCCGCACCGCCCTGCACGAGGCCTGCGTGGGGGGTCACACGGCCTGTGTCCAAGTGCTGCTGGTAGCAGGCGCCGACCCCAACCTCCCTGACCAGGATGGGAAGTGCCCCCTGCATCTCTGCCAGGGACCTGGCGCTCTCCAGTGAGTGACCCCTCAGCCCCACCCTGTCCCTCTTGGGAGAGGCGAGGAGACTGCTCAGTGAAGGCAGGGCACAGGGTGTGGACCTCACGCATGATGGTCTGGGGCAGAGGAGCTGGGTAGCAACTACTCCCCACCTGTTAGCACCCTACTCTCAGTCCCCCAGGGGTATCGGGGAGGGCCCTGGTGGCATGGCCTGCCCTAAAGAAATCTAAATCCATCAAGGATAGGCGGTATCGAGGTGAGGTCTTAATTCTGAGCACACTAATCCCAGGCACCATACTAAGCAAGGTATCAGCCAAACCCTGGTCCTACCCTCGGGGAGCTTGGTATCCAGAACCCAGGCACTAAAGGACAGAGGTGCCACCAACCCCATGCTGGACACCTGAAGGCTACACCCACACATGGCCCAGCATTATTTACTGCAAGGCATCCTCCCTGCAGTGACCTGAACAATGGCAGTCTGTGTTTAAGGGACTTGGAGGAGAAGTCCCCTCTCCAGATGTTTTAGTGGGCACAGAATCCATGCTAAGGCGGCCCAGCAAGTCTCTGAACCGCTTCCATATGTAGTATGAGCCCCTCTCTCCCCTGACGCCATCCCTGCCCAGTTTCGAATCTTGCCCTTGAAAAGCACCATGCTGTCCACCCTTGAGACGCCTCCCGGTGTCCCTCTGGTTAACCTGAGCCACCTCCAGACGACCCCGGTGGCCTAATGATATTACAGTTTAGAGGGTGCTGCTCACCCAACTGGGCCCAAAGGAATCTAGTGTGAATCACAGATGCAGTTGAACATTTGCTAGAAGAAAACTTGTAGCCCAATGGAAAGTGAAAAAGAAGGGACCGGAGATTTAACTCAGTGGCACAAGCGCCTGCCTGGCAAGCTTGAGGTCGTGAGTTTGATCCCTGGTACCAAGAAAAAGAAAAAGCAAAAAGGAAAGTGAAAAAGAGCTAGCCCACTGCACCTTTGCAGTCCCAACCACTCGGGAAGCTAAGGCAGGAGGATTGTAGCAATTTGAGCAATGGAGCAAGATCCTGTCTCAAAATTTAAGATAATAATCCTAATAATAAAAAAGGTTGCGCTATAAGTTATAATTCCCTGGGTTCTGTCCCCAGTACTGGAAAAAAGAAAAGGAACAAATAGGTAAAGTTGATTTTTGAAATTGGGGTAAAATATGCATAACAAAATACATCATTTTAATCATTTTATTTACTTATTTATTTATTGGTAAATCTAGGGATCGAACTCACAACCTCGCACTTTCCAGTCAGCACTTGTGCCACTGAGCTTAATCCCCAGCCCCATTTTAACCATTTTAAATTGTACGATTCAGCCCTGTATCCATTAAATAGTAACTTCCCTCTGGCAAGTACTAGTCTACTTTCTCGTTTTTTCTTTCTTTCTTTCTTATTTTTTTGAGACAGGGTCTTACCGTGTAGTTTAGGCTGTCTTTGGACACATGGAGATCCTTCTGCCTCAGCCTCCTGAATGCTACCATGCCCAGCTCTACTTTCTGTGTCTATAAATTTGACCTCTCTAGTGACCTCTTCTAAGTGGAATTGTTGGATGTTTGTCTTTTCATGGTTTCTTCTACTTAGCATAATGCCCTTGGAGTTTATCCTCATAATGGCAAGTGTCAGAATCCCTTTCCTTTTCGGGGCTGTGTGTTACTCTGTGGTCTGAGGATAACATTTTGTTCATCCATTCATCTGTCAATAGGTATTTGGGTTGCTACCACATTTTGGTACAAAGCTGCTGTGACACTAGTTATACAAATATCTAAGAAACAGGTGACATTCATTGTAACATTTTATGTTACAGTATTCTCAAAATGTTAATCATTTCAACATGCAGTCAATTGATATTTATATATCAATTAATAAGCTTTTTACCTTCTTGCTGTATAGCACATCTTCCTTGTTAGTGTGTGTTTAACACTCAGGGTACATTTCCATTTGCACTGGCCACACCGCCAGATGTTCATACCACGTCCATGGCTACCTGTGAAACCACACAGCCCCAGGTAACTCCATTTTCTTAATTCTGGCCATGTTTCAGCCCAGTCACAATTACTCCTTCCTTTACTAAGTACACAAATGTATTTTAAAATCATTATGAGCTGGGTGCTCATAATACCCATCATCTCAGCACTCTGGGAGGCAGGAGGATCACAAGTTCAAACCCAGCTTGGGCAACTTAGCAAATCTGTCTTAAATTTTAAAAAAGATGAGGCCATAGCTTGGTGCAGAGGTCCTGGGTTCAGCCCCCAACCAGTTCCTCATGAGGTCCTGTCCACTCCCCACATACGGAGACTGGAACGGAAGGAAGCCACTCACACTTCAGTGCCCGTGGGCTGGGACCCTGGGTGCTTGTTAGTGGCCCAAACATTTCCTCTGAGTGCCGTGTGGGAGCGTGAGTGGTGATATGGGTTTCAGTGTTGGGCATCACCAGCCGCATTTCCTTTGTGTCCACTGCCAAGCCCCAGGCCGAGCTCCCTTCTCTAGCCACACCTGCAGATGCCCTGAGGCTCCTGGCCTGAAATGCCAGCCCACCCGTTATTAGCTGTGTAAATTGCACGAGGAGTTCAAACTCAACAGCCTCAGTCCTCCTTTGTGACGTGGGAATCTCCCATAGGACTGTGGCGAGGCCCAGAGAGGGATGCAGGGCTAGGCACATGGCAGCTGCTCGTGACCTTGGTTCCTGTGGCAGAGGCAGAGGACGACTCCTACAGAAAGTATTTGGGCTTTAAAAGGCCATTAAACCAGCCACAGTGGCACCCACTTATAATCTACCGCACTCGGGAGGCTGAGGCGGGAAGATTGCTATGATTTTTGAGGCCAGCCTTATCTCAAAAAAACAAAACAAGAAACTAATAGTGAATGAAAGGCTAGTGCCCACCCTCAGAATGTGGCCGGGAAGGCCAGGGACAGTTTGCTCCTCCACCACCGCCTCACCCTTGTTAGGTGTGCGGACCTGCTGCTGAGGTTCGGGGCACGTGTAGACGGTCGGACTGAGGAAGAGGAGGAGACCCCCTTGCACACTGCTGCCAGGCTTGGCCATGTGGAGCTGGTGGACCTGCTGCTAAGACGGGGTGCATGTCCCGATGCCCGCAATGCCGAAGGCTGGACGCCGCTGCTGGCTGCCTGTGACACTCGCTGCCAGTCCCCCGCTGACGCTGAGGCCACCTCGGCACGCTGTCTCCAGCTGTGCCGCTTGCTGCTCTCGGCAGGAGCTGACCCCGACGCCGCCGACCAGGACAGGCAGCGACCCCTGCACCTTGCCTGTCGCCGGGGCCACACGGCCGTGGTGGAGCTGTTGCTATCCTGTGGTGTCAGTGCCAATGCCATGGACTATGGGGGACACACGGCCCTACACTGTGCTCTGCAGGGCCCTGCTACAGCCCTGGCCCAGACCCCGGAGCATGTAGTACGGGCTCTGCTCAACCATGGTGCCGTCCGAGTGTGGCCCGGGGCCCTGCCCAAGGTACGGGGGCTGCGGGCAGGGAGAGGCTGTGGTGGGGAGGGCACAGGGACTCCGAGGCCTTTGCTGTGCCACCTGGGCCACACGGGGACACAGATTAGTTCCACCTTCCATTCAACAGGTAAGCAAGATTCAGTGTGGCAAAGGCCAGGACTCAGAATAAGAGTGTGTGTGCATGCACGTGGACATGATGTGCATGGCCCATATGGTGCACGTGGACATGGATGAGGGCACATGTGTGCTTGAGTGGACATCATGGGTGTCAGATGCATGTGGCAGCAGTGGATTATGAAGGACCCAAATAACAGAAGAGGCAGGACAATGTGGGTGGCAGAGACTGCCGCAAGGTTTCATTGGGGGCAGGTGCTAAAGGACAGGACATCCGGGTACTCTGAGAGCATGAGGGACATGCTGGGTGAGACTCCCCAGGGTGCCAGAGGATCTGTGAAGGGGTGGGGTCCTGCTTTCTGAGTGTGTAGTGGGAAGCATTCCCCAAACCAGCTGCCACTGCCCTGGTGGCTGTGAAAACACCTTTCGAGGTCATTTTTCAATTTATTTCTTACTTCATGTTAGTTCCCCCAAAGTGTGTTCACTCAAGCCGGTGCTGAGGACCCCTTGGTGGGGGAGGCCTCGTCCCCTAAGGTGCTGGGCCTGGAGGGGGCTGCATAACACCTCAGAGCCTGCAGTGAGGACACCCATTCTCTGAGGAGATGGGCCTGGCCTTCTGGAGAGTGGCAGGTCCCCTCTGGCCCTGCTGGGGATTCGTTCCACCCAGCCCTGCCTTACCCCGGGCCATCACTGCTGTCCCTGCCTCTCCCCTTTGCCCACAAATCCAGAAGCATCTGTCTGGATTCCTAAGCAAGACCAAATAATTAAACAGCCCGAGAGTTCGGCAGATTGGTCTCCCCTTTGGGAAAATACAAGAAAATCAACAATTAACACTAATTAATCTCCTATTAACACCAGATAATTAGGAGACGAGCAATTCCCTGTAATCTGACGGCAGCTCTGACAGCTAATGATTTCCCTAGCAGGCGGGGCAAGAGGAGGACTTGGCACTACCCACGGATTTCCTAGGACCTCACTCCTGTCCCTACCCCCTTGGCTCATCTTTGGGAACAGAGACCAGCAGAGTCAAGCGCCCACTATCCTTTCTCTAGTGGAGACAAGCTACCTGCACACAGGTTCCAGCAAGTTGCTCACTCTCCCTGGTCTTGTTTCCTCATTTGCAGAGACAGGACAATTTGCCAGCTCCATAGCTTGCATGAGCAAAGGGGTTAACAAGTGTGAAGCCCTGGACACGGCCCTGCCTGCAGTATCAGTCTGTGTTAGCTTGCGTCACTCTATAGCGACATAGGGAATGTGCTGAGCAGCCAGGCATCTCTGTGAAGGAGAACACTGGGCTTCCTGGAGGAGGCTGGGTGGTTCTTGGGCCAGGAGGAAGAAGTGGCAGGCATCTCTGGTGGGGCGGGCATCCTGGACACAGACACATGTCTATCCTTTCCTTGATCTGAGGAGGAGGAAGAGGGAGAGGATGACCTGGGCTAAAGAACCAGGCTAGAGCTGCTCTGATAAGCACAGCACAGGGTAGATGGAGAAGCACAGGCCTGGATGTGTGGGCCACTGTCTTCTACCTGCTTCTGCTGCCCCCAGCACACCCTGTGGAGGCAGGGGCTCAAGCCAGGGACACTGTAGACAGAGCACATGACAGCTCTTGGCTGATTTCAGATCCACATGGTGCCCATGGCCACTGCCTGTCGCTTGAGGTCTTGCAAGAGACGGAGGCATGGGCAGGCATTGCACGGGCGCCATGGCACCCACAAGGGGCGCAGCTGCCTTTCCAATCACCCTCCCCGGGCTGCCCCCACTGACTCTGCCCTGGGCACCTGGGAGGCCCACAACAGGTACCTTCCCAGGAGAATGGATCTGGCTCCAACTGCCTCCCTCTCTTGGAACTCTGCACTGCTGCCCTGGGCATTGGGCCTCTGTTGGCTTCTCCCTCCTCCTCCACTGTCCTCAGAGCCTGTGCCTCTCTGTGAACCCCTCCTCCCCACCTTACCCCTCCTGCAGCTGTCTCTGCAGCTACTCTGCCTAAGTACTGCACCGGGTAGTTTTCGCAGATCTTCCAACTGCTCAGGAGCTCAGCCACAGGTGTGGGACCCCTTCCAGCCAGCAAAACAGCCAACTTGGAGCCCCATGGAGGTAGACGAGAGAGCAAGATGGTGTAGAAGGGCAAGAATCTCTGTGCTGGCTCGGACTGCCAGAAAGACAATTTGAACGTTACCCTTCCGTGCCTCAGTTTCTCTTGGCTGTAAAATTTAGACAATAACCATTCATACTTTAGAGGGATGATGACCAAGAGTTCATAGGTGCAAAGTGCTAAGGAAAGCATCCACTGTACGCTCTGCATAGCAGATGTGATACCTGTGGGGCTGGGGGTGCAGCTCGTCCCACACCTCCCACAGAGAAGAAAGAGAAGCATTAGTGTTGTATCAGTTTCCTGAAGCTGCCACCACTCATACCCCAAACCAGGCAACTTAGAGCAACTGAAGAGAGGTGTGACAGGATGGGTCCCTTCCGGGGGCCCTGGTGTGCTGCCCATCTCTTCCTCATCCAGCGTGGTTGCCCACAATGGATGTCCCACGGCCACCTCTGGGTATGTGCACCTCTGTTCTTAGGCCCTGTGACCTCGCTTTGACTCATTCCATCTGCAAATAAGGTCACCTTGCTCAGTACCAGGTTTAGGACTTCCATTTATCTTTTGGGGAAACAAAGTCCCCCCCTCACAGCTGCGGTCCAGCACCTGACCATCCCTGCCTCTTCCAGGTGCTGGAACGCTGGTGCTCCTCCCCGAGGACCATCGAGGTGCTGATGAACACCTACAGTGCCGTGCGGCTACCCGAGGAAGCGGCGGGCCTGATCCCTCCTGAAACACTGCAGGTCAGATTCCAGCCTGGCGCTGAGATTCCCACCCACTAAGGGGCAGCCCTATTGGTCCCCCATAGAAACGATCCAGACCCACCCCCTCCCCAAAGGAAATGTCACAGTGTGTTCTAAGAGGTTCCTGGAGATGCCTGCAGGCCACTCTGTCACCTGTCCTTGCTGAACCCTCCCTCTGCCCCCAGAAACACCAGCACTTCTACTCCTCGCTCTTCGCCCTGGTGAGGCAGCCGAGATCCCTGCAGCATCTGAGCCGTTGTGCGGTGCGCGCACACTTGGCGAGCTGCCTGCCCCTGGCCCTGCCCCGCCTGCCCCTGCCTCACCGCCTGCTTCGCTACCTGCAGCTCGAGTTTGAAGACGTGCTGTACTAGGTGAGAGTGCTGAGCTCTGGGGATGGGTAGGAGGCATCGGGGGTAGGGGCAGAGCCTGACCTGAAGCAGCTGCCTCAGGGCCTGCGGACACTCGGAAGCCAGGCCTCTCATTCCAGATGTGCACTGCCTGTGGGGTCTGAAGCAGATGGTGCAGCCTGAAGCAGGTGGCCCCATTGGCAGCAGGTCACTCTCTGCAGGGATGCTCTGACCCTCACCAGAGAGAGGTGGACATGTTACAGCGGCCAGGTGACATCTGATGAAGACAGAGCAAGTGACATTTTCTCAGGGCTCCCCAGACACCCCTTCTAGGCTATGCAAAGCCTGTGTGTACATTAAAGTCTCCAGGATATTTGTTGCTTTTCCCAACAAGTTTTGCTCAGGCAAGCTCCCTGGCAAAGGTAGTTGGGATGGGCACTTGCTTGGTCCCCCACATTGCCCTGTGTAACAGATCCCCTACCTTCTTCTTTTGCCACTCACCAGCTATGGAGGAGGCCCAGGTCAACCTGTCCTGCATTTGTTGTCCTGTGAGATAATGAATAACCACCAAGTAAGAGTGCATTGTCAGGGGCTGGATGATGCAGTGCCTGCCTGGCAAGCCCGAGGTCATGAGCTCGATTCCCTCTATCCACACATACAAAAAGTCTCTGCAGCTACTCTGCCTAAGTACTGCACCGGGTAGTTTCCGCAGATCTTCCAACTGCTCAGGGGCTCAGCCACAGGTCTGGGACCCCTTCCAACCAGCAAAACAGCCAACTTGGAGCCCCATGGAGGTAGACGAGGCAAAGGCCCGAAGAGTGGGTGGTGCAGAGGGGACTTAATGGTAAGGGACCGAGCAGGAGCTGTCCAGGAGCCACAGAACAGCCAATCAACTGCACCGTGATCCGTGACATCAGGAGTTACTAGACAGTTCCCTGGCTTCAGGATGCTCACGCTGGAACACACAACTTTCCCCTCCAAATGCTGCTGACTGCGTGGGGCTTGACGGGGCAGGTCTGTAGGAGGGGCACCTGTCTAGGTGAGGGACGGGTTCTAGAGACAATGTGAGTTCAAAATCCCAGATGTCATGGACAAGCAGAGCGGAAGTGAGCGGCCCAGGACCACCCTGCGGGAAAGACGCCAGACCAGCACCATTCTTGATGTGGTGGGGGGCAAGACTGGAGGGGTTTCCAAGGTGTCTGCTGGGGGCTGGCCCCTTACTGCCAGGGTTTTCTGTGCAGGGTCTACTGTGGGCCACTTGGGACATTTCGTGTACACCCCACGGTTGGTGGGGTCCCCATACCGGTTTGCTCCTTGCAGCTGCAGGCCTCACAGGCTCATGGTGCCTGGGATTCCCAGCCTTGCCTGCTGCCAAGCCAACAGGAACAGGTATCTTGTGGGAGAAGCCAAAGGAGACACAGAGGGCGATGTGACAGCACCAGGGAACTATTTTAAACAGTGACAAGGAAAGGCTTTTTTTTTTTTTTTTTATCGGTACCAGAGACCGAACTCATGACCATACACTTGCAAGGCAGGCACTTATGCCACTGAGCTAAATCCCCAGCCCTAGTGATAGAGGTTTTTTTTTTTTCCTTGGAAAGTCACTTGTTAAGGAGGTGACTTTTAACTTGAAGTCTAAAGATGAGGAACCAGACCTGTGTGCAAGGAGTGAGGAGGAGCAGGAGAGCTCCCTGAGCAACAGAGGCCTCAGAAGATCACTTTGAGCTATGCATAGAGGCACCTGCCTGTGCATTCTCAGAGGCTGAGGCAAGAGGATCACCAGTTTAAGATCACCTGAGCAATTCAACAAGACCCTGTCTCAAAAAAAGAGTACAAAATCCTTAGGTTTAATCTCTGATGCCACCAAAAGGGAAAAAAACCCACTCTGGCTGGCTGCTGAGTGGCTTCGGGTTGAGGAGGCCATAGAGAATTGGGGAGACCTTTTGGGGGTGACTGCAGTAGTTCAAGCAAGAAGTGGGATAGTATGTAGTAGAAAAGATTTGGGGTCCTCTAAGGGAACTTGACTGTGGGGCTGGAGGAGAGCTTTGGAGTGACTTTGGATGGACTGGAAATAGAGGAAGTGTTTGTTCCAGGGGCTTTGCGCTCAGAGTGGGAGAGACTACCCCTGACTGTCCCTGCAGCAGGAGGGATGACATGAAGCTGGTGGGACTTGCCTTCCTGCCACTCAGGGACTGGAAGGGACCACTGAAGGGCAGGGACACTTGTGCCTCAGGACCACCTGCCTACTGGGCAAAGGACACCCCTTAGCTTTTGGGGAACAGCTGGGACTTGTTAATGGAGCACAGACAAGCTGGAGCCCTCCTGGTCTTTTGGGTTTGGACAGCTGAGCAGATGCTGCTGCTAACTCCTAAGGTCGGGGAAGCAGGACCAGGAAAATCAGAAGGACTGTGCTGGCTCTCCTCAGTGGGCCATCTGGCAGACATCACAGGGGCCGTGTTCACAGACAGTGTGGACCTTTGAATGCGGAGGGCAGAGGAGAGGGCAGGTCTGGCTGAATAAACAGGCTGCAAAAAAATGTTCAAGAGATCCTGATTCTGAGGGAACAGCTTTCCTAAGGGTTCCACTTATGACTTTTGATGGAATTCTATTTTAGTCCTGCCACACTTTTCTTGTTTTTGCTTGATTGTGTTTGTTTTGTTTTGTTGGCAGGGCCTCACCATTTGGTCTAGGCTGGACTTGAACACACAATGTAGCCCAGGTTGGCCTCAAACTTGCCATCTTTCTGCCTCAGCCTCCTGGGAAGGTGTTCACCATTGTGCCTGGCTCACTGTCCACTCTTGCTCCTTCATTTGGTGCTTCCTGAGCCCTACATGTTAGTAGTGGACACAGGGATGCGCCTGAGACAAACTTCTGCCCTAGTGAATTCTCAGTCGATCCCAGAAGCGGTGGGGAATTAATCACAACCCAAGGAGCACTGAACAGACGGTGAATGACTGTGGGATTGGGGAATGAGAGCAAAGAGGAAGGCGAGGAGCCGGGTAGGGATCCAGTAAGGCTTCCTGAGCACCGTGCTTGCGATCTGGGGATGAGAGGAGAGGGGCTCGTGCCCTGCATGGAAGGTGTTGGGGGTGACTGATATGGGAGGGAAATAAAGGTGGCCTTGCCGTGGTCGGTATGTGGAGGTCGTGCCTAACATTCGTGGCTTTGCAAGGTTATGCCCGAGGTTCCCTCTGGGGTCAGACGTCAGACACTGGCAAGTCAGGGAGCCTCCTCCCCAGCCTCCCGGCTGTTGGTCCCGCGGGCCCAGAACCTCTCCCCGGTAATTGCTTTCCATAATGTGTTTGCTCCAAACCAATTTCACGCCTCCGTGAGGACTCCGCCCTGCACTAGAGGCGCGGACCTCCCCACCACAAGCCTCCCCGCGTGTGCACGCGTGGGCTCACACACACATAGACACACACACACACACACACACTCACAACGCAGGGCGACAGATGCACTGGCCCAGCAAACATGCAGGAGCCTACAGGCACACACACTAGACTTTAAGACACTGGTGTCCAGTCCCCGCCCCGTTCCGTCCAACCGGTGCATTCACAGCGAAATACCCAGAGTTTAGCTAGCTCTCCGGGTCCCCTTACTTTGCCCCGAGCGCGACTCCTGCCTAACGCCAGGGGCCGCTGCAGCACCCCACGCCTCCCTCGCGGTGACTGCAGTGGCGCGCCGCTGCCACCAGAGGGGACCCGCGCACAGAACCCGGCACTGCCCGTCGTACGCGGACTCTCGCCAGCGGATGAGTGAGTGAGCCCGAGGTCCACACCTGTTGGCTTTGACTTTGGAACGTTTTGCTCGTTAGAACCCCCTAGGCGGAGGTCCCAGTGTCTGGAGAGGGCAGATGAGGTCCCACACAACTAGCCGAGTTCCGTGCAGGGATCCAGTAGGAAAAGCCGAGTTTCCTACGGGGAGGAATTTGCGAGCCACAGCATCTGTCCTTGGTACTGATGACAGAGCCGCTGATTTCCGGAAAGGTGAGTCCTTCCATTCTGGACCACTCTGCCCTTCGCCTGTTCACGGCTGGAAGAACGCATTCTGCACGGTGCTCCCTGTTACGTGTTCCTTGGCTTTCGGCTGCACAGAGTAGAAGATAATCACTCTCGCACACAGGAGTAAGTCGAAGGCCCCAGGTCCCCAGATCCTTTTCCGTCCACAAGTGGTCTTTGTATTTGCCATGGGGCCTCCGTTGCACCCAGGATGTAAGGGCAGCGAAAGGAAGTGGCCACAACAGTGGCCACTAAGCCTGTGACAGTAGCTACTGAATGCCAAGGACCCCAAAGAAGCCACACGTCAGGAACCGTGCGGTCAGGGAGCAGACTGAAGATACAGATGGGTTAGAATATACAGTGTGGACCATGGTATTTCACAAGCGTGAGTCACACCAGATCAATGCCAAGTCCCCAAGGTCTCACTGGTCAGTCCAGAGCTGCTGGCCCACTGGGATGTGCTGGCACCAACCTGTACTCTCTCTGCCTGCTCATTTTTCCTCGTGGTTGTGAGCAATAACTTTTGTCATGACCTAAGTGATGCCTTCACGCCTTCACTATCGGAGACTCTCTACCCCTGACAGTGCAGGGTCCATTAGGTACCACCAGAGAGCGACAAGCTTCCTGAAGTGGACTTTTACTGGTGAGACTGGAGGGAGGGAGAGCAATTTCGATGTAGATATCCTTTTGAGCTTTTGGAATTTTGTACTATCTGATTTTATTACCTTTGCGAAAATGAATGTAATTACTTTTAAAAATGGCCTTTCTTCATGTGTTATTTGATTGGCTCATACAGCTTTAATTGCGGTGATTGTAGCCTGCACATCCCTTCATGATTTATCAAGTCAATAAGCCTCCATTATGTAGCCAACTCTGTAAAACCATCACGCCAAGTACTTGACCTCTCACTTTCCAAGCACAGCACACCTCTGGAGTCTAGTCTTCCCTATCTGCATGGTGAAGTACTTGGTTAATTCCAGAATTGTTCTGAAGACTGCATTTAGACAGACTTTATCCTACCCCTTCCACAGTGAGTTAGCAGAGCCCAGAACTAATCTGAGGGACATCTTTTTGCTCCATAGCAAATCCTCCCCCAGATTGCTCAAAAGTGACATTCATTTCTCTGATGAACTGACAGTGGGGGAATATCCCAAGAAAAGTCCCTTCTTGAGCACCATGCTCTTCCTTGGTGCTATCCTGTCTACCATGTCTTTTAAGAGTGCTGATTTTAGGTTGGGGATTTAGCTCAGCGACATAAGTGCCTGCCTTGCAAGCAGGGAGTCGTGAGTTTGATCCCCGGTACCAATAAAAAGGAAAAAGACCAAAAAAAAAAAAAAAAAAGAGTACTGATTTTAAATCCATCAAGACCAACACTCCTGATTAGAACGAAAGTCATCAAGACTACATCACTCCTGCCCTGCTCTGTCCCAATAGGGCAGCTCTGGGCTCTCTGGCATGAGTATTCTTCCTCACCTGGGCCAAATCCCTGCCCTCCCTAAGGGTGCCTTTGTCAACTTCTCTGGTTTCACTATTTTTCATTTTAACCATCCCGGCTCTCTTTGACCCCACCTGACCCCAGTTTGCTAGTGACCAAGTGAGCTCACTCTAGCCGGCCAGGCTGGCTCTGTGTCCCTCTACTGTCCTCTCATCCATCTCCAGCCTCTCTCCTACCCTGACCGGAAGAGCCTATGAAGTCAAAGTGCCTGTGACTTTTGCCTCTGAACTGACAACTCCACTGCCCAGAATGGGGGGTGGAGGTTAAAGGCGCCACTATTTCTATGTTGAGAATGGGGGAGGTGAGCAGAGTCATCTGCAATTAGTGGATAATTAGCGTTGCTGACCCTCGGGGCTCATCAGCGCTCAGGGGCCAGCCCCCAGCAATCAGCCAGGGCAGGTCGAGAGTGTCAGGCCCAGGAATGAATAGGGCTCATCAGCGGCCTGTAGCTGAGCCAATCAGGGAAATTAATAGCGGGAGAAAGGGAGAGAGCAAGTGAGAGAGATGAGACAGACAGACAGACAGGCGATAAAGACAAGGAATGAGATGAAGAAAGAAAACAGGTGGACTGGGCTGGGGACGAGAGATAGAGAAAAGCTAATCAAATGACAGGAATAGAAATAAAAAGGAGGGCTGTATGGGGAGAAGCGAGAGGGGAAGGAAAGGATGGTAAAGGCCGGGAGAAAGGTGGAGGGGGCGAGGTGGAGGAATGGTAAGTGCGTGGCAGGGCAGCCCTCGAGGAAATGACCTACAGAGGTCGGAGAAGGAGGTTGAGCCCCGGAGGAGGGAATGAGCTGGTGCCAGCAAAATAGAGGCAGGGATGGGGCAGAGCCGGGTGGAAGGTTCCGCAGGGGAGGACGAGGCCCCGACCCCGGCCTAGCTGCCCCCCACCCGAGCGTGCCCCAGCCGCTGAGCCCGGGCTCCCGGGGCCCCGCGCCGTGGATCGCTCCACCGAAGATGCGCGCGGGGCTGGGGGACAGGGTCCCACGGAAGGCGGGAGGGGACTGGACGCAGGGTCCCCCACCGAGTCGCCCATCCTCGCTCTGCGAGCCGGGCCGGGTGGGCCGAGCTGGGGGCGGGGAAGGGACAGCGCGGGCAGCTGCTGCCGCCCCCTCGCCGGCCGGCCGCAAACTTTCACAAAGCGGCGCGTCCGGCCTCATCAATCTCCATTACTAATAGTTGGTTGGGCCGCGGGGGCAGGCGGGGTCCGGCCGGGCCGGGCCGGGCGCTAGGAGCCGCTGCGCAGGAGCGCGGGCCGGCGCGGGGCGGCGCGGCGGGCGGGCGGAGGAGGAAGCGAAGCGTAATTTGAGGAAGATGGATGAGTCCAGAGGGCGACACCCCCGGCCCGCCCCGCCCTCCTTATGAGCGCGGCGGCGCGGCGCCCCAGCCTCACTGCGCCGAGCCCGCGCCCCGCCGCCACCTGCCCGCCCGCCGCCTGCGAGTGCGCGCGGGGCGCCCGAGCCGCGGGGCGCACGGCGGCGCCCGGAGCGCAGCGCCCCGGGGCGGCCGCGATGCAGAGGGCAGGCGGCGGCGGCGCGGGCCCCGGGGGCGCGGGCGCAGGGGGCGCGGGCGGTGGGGGCCCGGGCGCTGCCTTCTCCATCGACGCGCTGATCGGGCCGCCGCCACCGCGCGCCGGCCACCTGCTCTACACCGGCTACCCCATGTTCGTGCCCTACCGGCCACTCGTGCTGCCGCAGGCGCTCGGCCCCGCACCGCTGCCCGCCGGCCTCCCTCCGCTCGCCCCGCTCGCCTCCTTCGCCGGCCGCCTCTCCAACTCCTTCTGCGCGGGCTTGGGCCAGGCCGTGCCCTCCATGGTGGCGCTGACCACTGCGCTGCCCAGCTTCGCCGAGCCGCCCGACGCCGCCTTCTACGGGCCCCCCGAGCTCGCCACCGCCAACGCTGCCGCGAGCAACATCCCTGAGCCGGGCGCCCGCCGAGCAGAGGGCGCCCTGGATGCTGAGGAGCTGCTGCCAGCGCGGGACAAAGTGGCCGAGCCGCCGCCGCCCCCGCCCGCGCACTTCGCAGAGACTTTCCCGAGTCTGCCGGGTAAGTGGCGGGCGTGGGACGCGCTCGACAGAGCCGCCCGTAGCGGTTCTGCACCCGGCGCTCACGGGCACCGACTCCAACCCAGTTCCCAACGCACCTTCGCTGAGCCCACAGCCGGTGCTCCTCGGGCTGCAGAGCGCCAAAACCTCGCCAGAGATTTCAGTCTCTTCCAAGCCCTAGCCTCCCGAGCGCTGTCGCCCTCCAGCCTCTGAATCCCTGCGGTTTTCTCTGTATCGGGTGGGGTCGAGGGTGCACCTAGGGCCCCAGGGAGAGGGTGCGTGGAGACAGCTGTCAATCTGGCAAAGTGGGCGCGTCTGGTCCTGAGAAGACTGCGTTGACCTTCCGTACTTAGGTAGCCGCGCTCAGGCACAGAGCGGGTCTAAAGGTGCCTGTGGCTTCACCTCGGCAGCAGAGGTTACTTGTGAATGGACAGCTTCCAAACTAAGCCTAGAAGACCAGGTAGCGGGCCTCCCACCTCCCACCGCGGGGGGACCAGGATTGCAGGGAGGCCCAGAGGCTTTATGCTGGGTCGAGTTGGGTGTGGCTCTAAAAACCGCCAGCTGAGAATCTGGTGTGGATTCAGCTAAAAGATCACTCAGGAGCCCTGGGAAGGACACGCTTTCCACAGAGGCAGGGCGAAATGAAAGATCCCTGTTTGGAATCAGTGCACTTAGCGCCTAGCTATCCTCTCTATTGCTACTTAACCATTAGAAACTAGAAAAGCTGTCTCCTATCCAGGCAGATGCAGGTTTCTGAAATCCAAAACTTAGACAATCTAAGAAAAATAGGGCCATACATAAGTGTGGGCTGTGAAGTAGCATCCTCCTTAGCATCAGGGTGAATGTCCCCAGCTTAGCAGGTGGAAATAACCCCAGAAGGCCCAGTTGACTCCAGTGGAGGGGACGGGGACCCCAGAGTCCTTGGCTGGACAAGGCTGCTCCGAATGACAGGCTCCTGGCTCTCCTTGGAATTGTGCCAATGGCTGGTCACTCTTCTAGACCCCAAGGACTGCCCAGAGCTGGTCTCCCTCTTCCTCCTCTGATTGTGGGCATTTGGGCTCAGGGGACACAGCTGTTGTTTTCTTTTTGGTTTGTACCTGGCTGGGGTGGAAGGATCCCATGGCAGAAGTCAGAGCAGCTCACCTAGGAAGGACCCTAGGGAAAACTGCAGGACACAAAGGTAGGAGGAAATGTCTGTGTGATGAGGGGGCCAGAGGTAGGGCGGAGAAGCCGGCAGGGGTGTCTAAGAAGGCTTAGTGGAATTTTCAGAACAGGATGGAATGAAGGCAGGCAGAAAACACAGGCAGAGAGCAGACACACCTAGGACAGAGGAGTTGGGGAACAGGCAGATGGGTCCCTAGGTGGAAAGAATTAGAGGAGTCCTCAGACCACAGCAACTTGTCTACACTGTCCAGTCTCCCCAGTCCTTATTTGGACCCATATGTATAATGGGGTTCTTTTCTGAAGCAGATAGAATTTTGGCGATGAAATCAGATGTGGATGGAGAGGAATAGGCAGGGGGAAAAAATGGTAGAGAAGTGTGGAGGTGAGAACAGAGGAAAGAAACAAGGAATGAGCTTTCCGTATAGAAAGCCAGGCTCTGGACTGTGTGAAAGAGAACGTGAGCAATTGCACTGGCCTGAAAGTTCTGTCTCGGCAGGCCTGGGAGACAGCTAAAGAAATAACAACGGGGCTGGGCCGGATATGCAGCTCAGCCGCCTAAGTGCCTGCCTGGCAAGCGCAAGGTCATGAATTCGATTCCTGGTACCAAAAACGAACAGAAAATAACACAAAAACAGGGGCTGAAATAGTTTTATACTAGGAATGGTTTTCTTTAAAGGGGTTTCCAGTCCTGGGAGTGATGGGGAACTGGGATGTATATGGAATGATGAAGGAAAAGTCCTCCTTATCCAAGGAGACTGTTGGAAGCCAAAACAGAGGATCGAGTTGTTCTTGAAATCCGGCAACGGCTTTGTTGCTAAGCATGCTGGGAGGAAAACCTTGCAGGGGAAGACTTCGAGAATTATGGGTTGAAGGTCGCCCCTCAGCCCTGGGAGACACGAGACAGCGGGCAGAGTAGTCAGGAGGGCAGGCTCCAGAAGGGACATCCAGAAGGTGCAGGGTTTGGTTTGGGGTTGGGGTCAGCTGTGCCTGTGCCTGCCCACTAGCCTGTCCATCCCTCCTGCAGCGTTCCCAACCTTCTCTCCCTGTCTCCACAGCCGCTCACACCCACCTTCTCAACTGTGGGTGTTCCCTGAGATGCCTGCAAAAAGAAAACGTGGTTCCAAAATGTTAGACATCCGGTGCATTTGGGGGTGACAGCACCCTTGTCCATGTTGCAGCAATAGCGAAACCGATGTACCACGTTTGGGTCACTGGGGAGAATAAGACATGAAGCAGGGGTGGCTGCTGGGAATGGGTGACATGGGGCTGAAACTATTAATTCACAATTACCAGCCCCTTCAGTAAACTTACAGTGAAGGTAGGATCCTTGGGGGGATGAGGAATGAGGTTCTTTTGGAGGGGAGGGAGAGGACTACAAGGACTATTTTTCTTTTAATTATCAGGGAGTTAAGACAGACACCGCTCTCTTACTACAACTGATGAAGCCCAAACAGGACTTCATCACCACAGGATTCTAGGGATAGAAGCGGTGTCTGCAGCTGATAAGAACTGCGGAGCATGGGAGGGCGGGAGAGAGAGACTGACAGGGATCCTGTGTTTGGAGCATGGCGAGCTATGAGCTCGACAGGGCAGGACTTTCAGCCACATTTAAAAGGGATGGGGGATAAGTCAGATGGATTTTTAAGAATATGCTTTCTTTTGTCGAAAGTATTTTCATGTTAGCACTAATTTACATGAATATTTTAATATTTTAATTTGTTTGTTTTTGGACACTGGGTCTCACTACATAGTGTAGCTGGCCTTGAACTCACTATGTAGCTCAGGCTACTCTTGATCTCTTAGGGATCTTGCCTCAGCCTCCCGAGTACTGGGATTACAGGTGTGCGCCACCACTCTCAGCTTTTAATGTATCTTCCCTATGCTGTTTTTGTACTGTGTGTTCCAAATGCAGTGTGTATTTTCACGCTCCCAGCCCATCTCAGTTCAGCCTAACCATGTTTCACGGGGTTGGGAGTCTCACGTGGCTGGTGGTGACCATATGTAACACAGTACCTCTAGAGAGCTGTACGGATGGAATTGTGTGAAAGTAACGGCAGGAGCTTCAGACTAGCATGCAGGATGGGCCCTTGAATAATCCAGAAATAGTGGAGGGAAGAGAGTAGTAAGTTCCCTACAACAGGAAGACGCAGAATCCCACCTCCAGGGGAATGGGTGGAGGTGGCGGGGATATCTGCAGGTTTGCGTGAGTCCTGGCTGAGCGTCATGGAGACTGAACTGTGGTGTGCAAAATGCTGTGCAGATTTGTGTCACAGAGGCGAGGCTGGCAGAGGGTGCCGAGTGCCTGGGGAAAGGCAGAGAGGAACTTGAAATCAGGAGAGCGCAGGGCAGCAGTTCGTTTGTGGAAGAAACACACTGGCTGAGAGCAAAAGGGTTTGACAGAGGTATAAGAAAATCAGGGAGGGACTGATGTGAGGGACAGTGACTGTGCTGTTCAGGAGGAAGAAATGCATGTGTATGTAGTCAGTATGGTAGGAGATAAGAGAATGGGCTGGCACAAGCCTTAGAGATGGGAGTGCAGTGAACATTATTTTAAAAAATAGTAATGGATAAAGATCGCAACTTTCTGAATCAGGTAGCAATAATAGCAGGAGACCAGGGAAACTGATATTGGGGGGCTGATTGCTACCACTAAGCTCCTGATTGTTGCTAGGGAGCATTTTGGATGACCACCAGTTAATTTCTGAGCAGGTAGCCCTTGTAACTGTCATGATACGGTGTTTCCTAAGGAGACAAAAACAGGAAACGATCATTCGTGGTAGAACCGAGATGCCTGTTGTAAGACAGGAGAGAGAGGATTTCGGAGGGGGGTGGAGACCTACAGTACGCTTTCCTAGAACTTCGGGGACAGATCACACAGTGCGAGTGGTTGGCATGTGGACACTTAGGAAGAAGCAAATGTGGTGTCGCCTTGATGTGCTTCAGGGAGCAGTTATTTAGGGCTTGTGACACACAGGTTCGAATCTCAGCTTTGCACTCTTTGGATGTGTAACACTGGCAAAGTGCCTGTTTCTAGCGGGGAACATTTTATTGTGTGTCTGTGATGGGCTTGCTGTGTTTGGGATACTTAGGGAGAGTTGATCATGTAACTTGCCTAGATTTTGGTTTGCTCTTCTCGACCAGACTTTATGTATTTTTTTTTTTTTATCACTGTTTTGTTTTGTTTGAGATGGGGTCTCACTGGGTAGTTCAGCCTGGCCTTGAGCTTACTGTGTAGCCCAGGCTGGCCTCAAACTCACAGCAATCTTTCTGCCTCAGCCTCTAGGGTGCTGAGATTACAGACTTGCACCACCATGCCCAGCAGACCAAATATTTTAAATTCAGATGATTCTTTTTTTTTTTTTTTTCTTTTTGTCTTTTTTCCTTTTTATCGGTACTGGGGATCAAACTCACGACTGCTTGCTTGCAAGGCAGGCACTTAAGCCGCTGAGCTAAATCCCCAGCCCCGATTCAGATGATTCTTAATGTCCCTTTCCATGTCCCTGTCCTTAGTCTTAGATCCCATGTTGAAAGCTGGGATCTCAGCTTGACTTCAGAGACCTGATCCGTCAACTGCAGGTGAAAGAAAAATTATATCTTTATTCTAACTTATAACTCAGATCTAGCACTTTCTTTAATTGTGGAGATAGGCTCCAATCAGTACAAATGCAAGGTTTTTGCCACTGATAAAAATTACAGATATTTTTATTTAAAAAATTTTTTTTCTTTCTTTCTTTTCTTTTCTTTTTTTGGTACTGGGGATCGAACTCATGACCTCAGGCATGCCAGGCAGGTGCTTACACTGCTGAGCTAAATCACCAACCCCTTTATTTTTAAAAT